ACTCCCATCTTACCAGCCCAGAAGCCAAATAATAAAAATTAATCCAAAAGTTAAAATCTATCAATAAAAGTATATTTTTTCTATATCTCATAGTATGCAATCCCTATACTCTAATAACCCAAGTACCCCCAAAGTCTATTTCTCAGTATGAACTTAAATGATATATTCTTTACTGTATCTCTCAAATCTGAGTCTCATCCAGAAACACTAAGAATGAGTCAACATATACAGTTAAGCAGAAAGATAATAAAAATGGTCCTAAGTTCTTTTTCAGAAAGAGAATAACATAGTTTTGTTTTAAAGTAGTCTGATTTTATCAGAATTTGAAAGCTAAGAAAAATTGACATGGGTGTGGAAGTTGTAAACATTTAAGAGAAAGGGAATGCTGTTAGAAAGATAAACAGTAAATTGTTTTATCTAGTCTTTAGTTAAGAAAAGGAATCAAATTAAAAATATTTTAGCTGAGTTGTTCTAACAAACTCAATCTAATAAAATTTCCTATTGCTGATTATTCTGTTGTATATTAGAGCAGTTCCTCAACAGATACCCAAATTGTTGCCATATGCTATCTGTTCTTCAAACTCATACAGGAGTAAGTTATTTTTAATGTCATAAGCTTTATGTAAAAGTTTTAAAAAAGTTACACAGATCTGTAGTCACCATTAACATGTTTAAACCTAATCCAAGTGCTCTTAAAATAGACACTAAAAATAGTAACCCTAGGGGAGCTCTGGTGGCCTAGTGGCAAGGAGCTGCACTGCAATGCCAGAGATATGCGGTTCGAATCCACCAGATGGTCTGCCGAAGAAGGAGGGGCCATCTACTCCTGTACCAGTCAGATCCAATTTGACGGTACACACACACACACACAGAAAATAATTTAAAAAAAATAAACAAAATAGTAACCCTAGAAAAAAAACCAATTCCAGTGTATAGAAATTTAACTCTAGAGAAATCCTTCAAATATAAGTTTTCACCCCTCCTCAAGTCCCCATCATCAGGCCTGTTGTCCTAAGCTATATACTTATGTCACAAACCACCCCTCCCCTCACCTAGGTCTGTCCTAATAACATTGTCCTCTTAAAATTCTCCTAAAGTCATGCTCTTCCTGCAAAGTTCTTATCCATCCCTTCCCCCCTTTTAACAAACTCATAATCCACAACTACAGAAAACAAGACCTGTGATAAGTTTCCACCACCCCAATCTACCCTATATGCTAAGCTCTTACCTACCCTAACATCACCAAACCTAAACCAGGCTCATTCTGACTTCTTCTCAGAAAGAAGCCCAGATCTCTCTTTTGCAATACTTAATATAAACTTCATGCAATATCAAAATTAGCACTACCCCCTCTACCCATCTCTTTCTAAACCACCCAACTAAAAAGTATTTAGCGATTTCTTCCAGATCATATGAACTGGAAGTTAACGGAGACCAGGTTCAGCTTCTCTTCAGAGTCAACTTCTAAAGATGCCTGAAAATATGTACATGTACAGCCAAGCACAATCAATAAGAGTGCATCTGAATTCCAAAATCAATCTCCATAATAGTCTATGTGTTTCCTACTGCCAAAGGGGCCCTTTAGAGTAGTGAGAGAAGATCTTCACCCTGAAACCCACAGCGTCCCTTTTCAGCAGGAAGTAGCTAAGAGAATACGCCGTCCCCTTTTCCTTATGACTCAGGGTGAAGTCTCTCTCAGGGAGGAGTGATAGGGAATGGCAAAGGATACACTGACAAAGAAGATTAATCAGAACTGGCTTTGACAAGCACTGTGGCATTTGGACAAGAACAAACTGGAAGGAGGGTAGAGAGAATAGTGCAACAATGAATGAGTGGAAGCCCAAAATCTCTGTAAATGTTTATGAAAATTAATAAAATATAATTATAATTAAAAAAAAAATAAAGATGCCTGAAAGCATCAATCTACTAACTCTGAAGAAAATCCTGTCTCTGCTGGTTTCTAGGAGACTTGTTTCTGTAAACTAATGCCATAAATAGAAAATCAGGGACCAAGTACAATTAGGATTCCCCCTTGGTTACTCCCCATCCTAACTCCCTTCCTAGTCATTTTTCTTTCTTTTTTTTTTTTTACTCTTGCTCCCTGTTTTATAAATATCTTTCAGAAAAGTGCCCTAGTGGTTCAGCCCCTGCTTGGGAAGCGGCACCTGTTACATGGTTGCCCTTAGTCAAAATACTTCCAGATCCCTCTTTTATCATATTCCGGCTACTCTTTTGTTTAACCCTGCTACTCACACTGCAGTCTTTTCATCTCGTGGCTACTCATCCAGTCAGAATTACCTGAAGATTAGCCACTGAAAGTGAACCAACCCTGGTATTCGCCCGCCACTGACCAGCCTTCTGACCCTCATCAACAGCCAGACCATGAACAAATTAAACTGCCAATGGAGCAGGAGGCCCCAGCCTCATCTCCAGGGTCTGAGGACACAACAGAATGTTGTCCAGTGCTACCAGAAGTGCCAACACAGCCTCCAACCCCTCTCCAGGAGGTTGAACCTCCACCATTCCATCATGAGGCTCCTGCTACAAAGCCCACTGAAGAAGTCAGGCCTTTCCCAGTACAGTTGGGAGGCACAAATCAGCCTACAGAGCTCCCTGAGGAGACAAGAGTCTTCTCTAGAGTAGCACGAGGCTCCAATTCAGTGGTTGTAACTCAATCTACCTGTTAGTGCTGCAGAGCTATTCTCCCTTAATTTCTCCCAAAATTAAAACTCAGACTCCAGATCCACTGTAGGAATCAGCATAAATGCACAACCCGTTTCAGAGGTTGTATCTCCACTCAAGTTAGAGACCTCAATACCACCTCATGAGCACCCCCACTGAGGGTCATGTTTATCTTAAAAAAAAAAAAAAGAGGCCCACTCCAGCCTCCTGAGCCTCCTATGAAGAACCTATTTCAAACTTCAATTTCCATGAGACTGAAATATCTCCAGTTCAGCAGGAGAGCGAAATACAGTCTCCAGCGCATCCATGCTGGAAAAACCTTCTCTAACTCAGCAAGGAATCCCATCTAAGCCTCCAGAATGCCCTTCAGAGATTAAGCCTTGTCTATTTCAAACTCCGTATCTTATACACCAGAGCCCCCCTAAGGAGGGTGAATTTTCTCCAGCTCATCAGGAGCCCCCAATTCAGGCTCTTGAGTTGAGATCCCTGTAAGTTGAACTTACCCTAACTCTGAGCAGCATCCAGAGGAAGTTCAATTCTCCCCAGTCCAGCAGGAGGGTCTTGTTCCCTCTCAGAATGCCCTTGTAAACGCTGAATCATCTTCATTGCAGCCAGAGGTCCTAGTTGCATTTTCAGAGCCTCCTAAGGAGAAAGAGCACTCAAGTTCAAGGTGAAGCCCCAGCACTCTCGCTTTCTCTCTCAAAGACTTGAGATGATGCAACCATCTCCAGATCATAGATAGCCTGTGTGTCATCTTTAGAATCCCCTAAGGTCTCACCCACCTCAAGACTCCTGAGATTTCTGAGGAGACTGAACCTTCTAAAGAGACTGAACCTTTGCCAGGGATTGATCAATTGATCGAGCCCCCTAATAAAGGAGACTCTTCAATCCAGCAGGGAGCTCTAGCACATCCTTCAAAGCCTCCTAACATGGTGGAATCTCTGACAGATGCACTGGCCTCCCCAGTTTAGCCTTTGAATCCACCTAAGGGGGATGTAGCTCAGTCTCTATTGCTTCATGAGTTTCAGCAACAGGTCAATAACAGGGTCAGCATGTAAATGTGCCCAGTGTCATAGCTCACCCTTTGAACCTAGATCCTATCATGATTCTTTCTGAAGTCCCACAAAAGGCTATACCTTTTTCACATTTTCCTGAGGTTGAGCATTCCACAATCCCACAACAGACTGAAGTGCCTTCTTCTAATGTTCCTGAGAAGACCATTGCACACTCAGGCCAATTTCAAAATAAACATCCACTTGAGTGGTATTATAGCTCAGACTTTGGACCCAGAGCTTACCAGGAATGTGAGAGTCTCTAAAGCCACTGTGCCTTAGTTGACTGTCAGCATCTAAGTCTAGAGTACTGCTTTTAGAACAACACTCCCCAGGAAGTTAGCTGAAAACAGCTTCCTGGACAAGCATGCAGACATGTCCCCAAAAACAAGGTGCATTCATGAGACCACATAAGACCCAGACGAGCAGCTGTGAAGGCTTAATTAATGAGAAATTAAAGCCCTCGAGATCTTGTGGAAAATACAGGTTAATGAGAAGCTTCTGTTCTTGAGAATATGTAGGAAATAGCTAAGGTGCTGGTGTGTCAACGGGTAGAGGCAACCACCACCATGGATGTGTTTCTCTTAATTTGGTGCCACAAGACCACCATCTTTACCAATGCCAAGGAGTTGAACACTGTGTTTGAGCTGAAGTGCATCATCGAGGGAATCCTGAGGCAGCCACCTGAGGAGCAGCGCCTGAACAAGAATGACCAGCTCCTGGAGGACAGACACCAAGACACTGGGCAAGTGTGGCTTCACCAGCAAGATGGCGAGTCCCCAAGTTCCGGCCACAGTGGGAATGGCCTTGTGGGTATGTGGCATGTTTGAGGACCTCCTCATCGAACCCTACTCTACCCCAGAGGAGCTGCTGGAGGTGATGGAGGTAGAGGATTCAGGAAGAAGCAAAGTTGAGCAAGCTGGGCCATGAGGGGTTGTCCCCCACCCTACCCCTTCCAATAAAGAGATCTGGGTGTTAAAAGAACCTCCCAACATTAATAAAACTCCATACTTATAAAAAAAAGAAAAGAAAAAGAAAATAGAGATAAGCTTTTTGTGTGTTTGTTAGGATCTTCTGAGTAAATCCTCAAAATCTCTGGTTCTTGGATATCCAATGACACACTCCTTTCTGGTCCCAGAGAGAATTGTTATATATATTACCTAAAGGTTTTTGAGATAATTGTTTGCCATGTAGAAAGAAGTTTGATTATTCTGATAGTAATGGAATGCTTGAATTCTCTATATATGCTGAGAAAAAGAAATCTCAGGGCCTTGGCTTTTGCCTCGGTCCACTGTGCCTCATTTTTTCTCTTTGTCTATTTTTCTGTCTTTTTCTCAGCAGTGTCATGTCCTTAAGTCCCACTGGTAAATGGCAACACAGGACCAGCACAACTCAGGTTGATTATTCTATAGCCCAATACATTTTATATATAATATCCAATGTATGGATATTACTTTATCTCCAGAACCCAATATAGATACTGAACCTTCTCCTACAAAGCAGGAGACACCAATTCAGCCTCCAGTGCTTCAAGAATTTGGGGCTAGTCCTCTAGTGAGACATGAGATGGCAACTCCACCCTTAGTCTCACATTCAACTTTCAGACTTGCCCAACATCCATAAAACTTGAAAACCTGGAGCTTACCAAAATTTCAGAACCCACTGCTGAGGTTGTACATTGTACAACCCTACACAGGAGTACTGTTCTTCCTGCAAAGCAAGTCACAGTTAGTTAACCCTTTGGATTTAGAGCTTACCATACATCGAGACACAAATACAGAGGGTGCACATAATGCAACAATTCAGAAGACTCGAACTCAGACTCCAGAGCCTCCTCAGGATGCTGTAAGTTCAATTTCCAACAAGTCCTCAGGAGCTTTCCAATGTGGGAGAATCTCTGACAACCCGACAGCCAGCCTCAGTTCCACCTCCAAGTCAAGATAAATGTCAGCATTCAGCAGGTGCCCATTGTTGCCACTCAGTCTTCTAACTTGGAGCTTACTCTATCCTATCTCTAGAACCCAAAATAGAGGATGAGTCTTCTCCAACACAGCAAGAGCCATCAACTCAATCTCGAAAACCACCTGAGGAGGTTGTAACTCAGTCTTTCGTATATAACAGACAGGTCAGGACCAAGCTCAGAATTGAAATTCAACTGATGTCGCAGTTAGACCTACAGACCTGGAGCTTAATATGACTCCTCTATTCACCTCAAAGATTGGGCATTCCACTGCCTTGCGGAAAACCACACCTCTTCCAAAGCACAATACAGTCCAGTCTTTTGATCTAGAGCTTACCATAGCTCCAGAACCCTTTACGGAGACTAAGCTTTCTACAAACCTGCAGAGAACTACTTCTCCTCCAAAGCAAATTACAGTTCAACTTGTCAATCCAGAGGTGACTGTGATTCAGCATCCAGCATCCACCGAGACAGTTTTTCTTCCCCAGTGATTTAGCTTTTTAAAAACTGCAGCTCAAATAGAGGACACATGACTCTTCTTTCTGTTACTGACACATACGAGCTCTGTGTTTGCCAAGGTGAAACATCCTGACTGGCCTTCACATAGAGAAAAAGCTCCACAGAGTGCCTGTGCCAGAGCCCAACACGTACGATGGCTTCCTCACTGTCTTGTAAGATTGCCTTTCTTCATTTCTTCTCCACAATCAAAGTCTTTCTGGCTTCATTTTTCAACTAATATTGAACAAATTCCTTTTTTTTTTACCTTATATTTTTCAACATTTCTTTATTTTCATTTTTCTCTTTACTATTGTGACCAGTCTCCAGTCTCTTATTTCAAATGTCATTATTTTTCCTGTATTTTGAGTTAAAGTTTACAGAGACTAATTAATGATCCATCTCCATTTTGCCTTGTGACAAAATTAGCGACAGTCCTCGCCACGTAACAACACTCTTCTCTCTTCCTCCCTGGGCTCCCTGGTCCCATTTCCCCATCTTTCCTGACTCTTCCTGCCTTCTCAATTTTGTTTGAGGGTAAATACTGCCTTTTTGGTCTTGCACAGTTAATTACACTGAGCAGCACATTCCTCATGGCTGTTTTTGTTCCCTTGTAGGCCTGTGTGTTGTTTCAACCTCATGTTTGAAGAGTGTTTAAGGACCATAGTTTTGGAAATTGCATTAATTTCTATCAGACCAATAATGTTTGTCTTTTTTTTAAATTTTTTTAAATTTTTATTATTTTTGTGTGAGTGTACCGTCAAATCAGATCTGACTGGTACAGGAGGAGATTGCCCCTCCTTCCCCGGCAGAGCATCTGGTGGATTCGAACCATGCGCCTCTGGGATTGCAGTTGCAGCTCCTTGCCACTAGGCCACCAGAGCTCCCCTCAATGTTTGTCTTTTAAAGTAATAACTTAAAATTTTGTTCTACATTTTTGACATTGCCCATTTCCTTCTGTTGTGATCCTCATTGTAGCAGTCAGAAGTGGTAGCTGGGAACCATCTAGTTCTTCTGGTTCCAGGTGGGTGGAGGCTGTGGTTCACACCCTTTTTCCTTTAGCCTTATCATTTCATGCTTTAACTCCTTTAACTTCCCAATTTGGTTCAGTTGTCTTTACTGGATCATATTCCTTTTCCAATTCACTGAAAACGATACAACAAAATAGTTAAGAGGAGAGAGTCTAGAGTCAAACTGCTTAGATTTGAACTCAGCTCTGTGATTTAGATTCCTCATCTGTTAAGTTATTGTATCATAGTTTTCTACAGAGTTAGTTGTTGGCATTGAACCTCAAGAGTTTAACTTTTTTTTTTTAAAGCTTAACATCTTATAGAAAACACAGCATTTGTGGATCAATTTCAGCGGTATAGTACTTGTTGCAGAAGATCAAAGAATGCAGCCTTCAGGATGGCAGCCTTCGGTATGGATTGCATCTCAACGTCAAGAAAACAAAGATTCTTAACAATGGCCAATAGGCAACATCATGGAGAAGAGATTGAAACTGTCAACAGCTTCATTTTGCTTGGATCCACAATTAACACCGTTAGTACCAGCAGTCAGGAAATAGACATTGCACTAGGAAAATCTGTAGTTAGGGTCCTCTCTAAATTATTGAGTAGTAATATCAGCTTGAGGGCTAAGGTGCAGCTGATTCAGGCCATAGTATTTTTGATCGTTTGTTATGTACCTGAGAGGTGGACAATGGAACAAGGATGACAGAAGAAGAAGTGATGCCTTTGAGCTGTGACAAAGAGTCCTGAAGATCCCATGGATGACCAAAAGTACAGATATGTCTTGGAGAGGGGTGCAGCTGGAGTGCTTTTGTAGAAATGGTCACGATGTGATGCCTTTTCACTCCTTTTACTCCTGAAAACTCCATGGCTTTATTCCGTGACACAAGGGGCGTGTGGTCCTAAAAGAAAATAGAGAGAGATGAGAGGATTCCACAAGGCAGCAACTCTGCAGAGAGGCGAGGGGTTAAGAGAGGATGAGGGGATTCTCAAAACAGGCCAACCAAGAGATTATTCTGAGGAGGTCCTCACAGTCCCTGCAGACACAGGTGGAACAATCCAGGACTTTATGTGCTCAGTTTAGGGGCAGAGGAGGCTGTCCCAAGTCACTGATGCTCTTGTAGGACCAGTTACTGCCCAAAACACTCATCATTCTTAGGTAAATGGATTTCACAAGTAGAGCTTACTTTCCTCCTTACTTGAAAGGAACACCAAGAGAATACTGCTCGCCTCTCATCTTGCTCAAACATCAATCATCCGTTCTCCAGAAAGCACTCATTCCTATCCAACCTAAATGAAGGGGGCACAGTCCTCAGTCCTGGAGAGAGAATTCCCAAAAGGGTAGTCCACTGCACTCAGCCTTAGAAACAGGGCATTTGGACCCAAACGGGCTGGACCCTCTACTGCTTCAGAGCTGTCAGGCTCATTTTCTTTCCAGTAGAGTCTGACAAGAGAACAGACCCCAGCACAGGTCTGTGGAGCTCATTCTCAGATGTTTTCAGGATCTGCAGGTAGCAGAACTCCACCGACTGCCCTGTGGCTTTCTAGCTCATAACCAGGCCTTCAGGTCCACATTTAGACCAAGATCTGCCCAAATAAGGTATCCCATAGGTTCTGCCCAGCTGCACTCGCTATATTTCCTTATTTTCTTGAGTCCATTTGAAAGTTGTCACATTTTGTGGAAAGACGACTGCATGGCTAGATGAGATAAGGGGATACTTGGGCTTCGTATGGATTATAAGAACCCCTCCCCCCGCCCGGACCCCAAGGGTCCCCCTGGTTTAATATGTAGACATAACCTATTTTTCTTTCGAACCTGGGGATGGGATCAGAGAGAAGCTCCACCTTGTGTCGGGACTCC